TTAATTTCTCCTCTTTTAAGTGAGGTTGAGCATCATTTCACATGTATAAGAGCAGTTGCATTTTCTTTACTGAAACTTATGTGCTCTTTCCATTTTTGTTTGGTATGGGTTCTTTTTCTTATTGATTTCTAGGAGTTGTTTGTCTATTAGAGGTAATCACCTTTGCTAATTTTTCAGTTGTCCTTTGAGTTATTTAGGGTGTTTTATTCTGTGCTGAAATTTTTTATTTTTATGTAGTCAAGTTAGCAGTCTTTTCTTTAAAGATTCGGAGCTCTATATTATCATCCATACTTAGAGGAGTTCTTTTCCATTCCAGGATTATTTAAAAAGCACACATATTTTCAAATAATGTTATGGTTTTATTTTTTAAACAGCTTTATTGAAGTTACATACCATAAAATTCACTCATTTAAAGTTTACAGTTCAGTGGGGTTTAGTGAATTCCTGTAGTTGGGCAATATGGCCATAGTTCAGCTTTAAAACTTCCTTCACTGTGCTTTATTTTTGCTTTAATTATGTACAACAATTATGCTGTTTTATTTTTATATTAGAATTTTTGCTTGACCGGCAATTTACATGGTGTAAGGCGTGAGAACAGCGCCCATCTGCATTTTCTTACTCATTTTCCAACACCATTTATTGACCAGTCCATTGTCCCTACTGCTATGGCAATGCCACCTTAGTTTCACACTCAGTGAAGTATTTGGGTCTTTTCTGTTTCATCAATTTGTCAGCCGATTCATGTTTGAGAATTACGGTATTTTATGTATTGTCACTTTAGAATATGCCTTAGTATTTGGTGAGGCCGTTGCACCCTGATTGACCTCAGTCCTGCTTCATTTGGGTCATTCCCAGATGGTTGTTTCTGTAAAAAGTTTAGAGCCAGCTTGTCTAGTTCTTAAAAATACTACAGCTGCCACCACCATATCAGCTTAAAAAAAAAAGATTGCATTAAATATATGCACATTGCTTAAGAATTGACATATGAATGACATCCTTTTTAAGAACAGGGGCATAATTATTCACCTTTCAATGCACTTCAGTGTGCCTGTGTGTCCCTTGAGAGTATTTTGAAGCATATGGATCCTACATGTTCCCTTTAATTGCTAAGTATTTTGTCCCTTTTATTGTTATTGCAAATAGGATTTCTCCCCATTATATTTTCTACCTGATTGGGCAACTTGATTAGATGGCTTTTAAACAGGGAGGCTATTGCTTCCTGTGGGTTGAATTTATTCCCAGAAATCTAAACACATTGTGTTATTGTTTATTGTAGTTTCTCTGTTGATTTCCTTGGGTTTGCAGGTATAAAATCGTATCTGTCACACATAGTGATAATTCATCTCCCCCTCCTTGATTTTTATCAAATTTCTTTTAATAATTATATTGGCTAGTATATCCAAAACAATTTTAAATAGCACTTGCTATTGTGATCCTTCTTTCCTTAGTCCCAGTTTTGCTAAAAATGCTTCTAGTTTTCCCATTAAGCATGAAATACATATATATGTATGTATTATATATAATGTGTGTGTGTGTGTGTATGTATGTATGCCTAATATGCAAAGTGTCCCCTCGGGAGTTTGACTGACTGGGAGTTTGATCGCTTGCTATGATGTGTGCTGACCACCAGGGGCAGCACGGAATGAAGGAAGGCCCCAGCTACCAGGTAGCAGCTGCTAGGGGCCCTACCTGTGCATGAATTTCATGCACTGGACCTCTAGTATTCTATAATGTACTACGAGATATGTGAGCTATGATTTTAGAAACTTAGGAGACCTATTAATTCATTCATTTGATAAATATTATTGCAGGCCTGTTGTGTTCCATGCAGGACTCTTGTTCTAGGGATACCATGGGAAATGAAACAGAGGCAAAGCCTTTGTTTTCAAGAAGCTTGAAGTCTAGTGGAACAGACAGGAACAGAAATCAAAGAATTAATAACTGTCAGGTTCTATGAAGTAAAGTGAGGAGAGAAGGGGGTAGGGAATAATGTGAATTTAGGATGATCAGAAAGGGATTTGGAATTCTTTCAAGTGTCTTTTTATCAGCTCTGTTTTCTTATTATTTAACTGGAAGTTTTGGATACACTAGGTAGCTGTATCCTGCCCCTGCCCCTGTCCCCCAGCCCTAGTCTCTCTCATTTCTCCTGGGCCCAGGGACTTCAAGGCAAACCCAGTGATTGATTTGCCCCCTCCTTGCACTGGTTGGATTTGCTTGTTTTCATATTATTTCCAGGATGCTAATTGTTTAAGAAATGAACTGAATTTGTTAGAGAGCAGGGTAATTTATCACCTTGGATAGAGATACTGTTGCTAAGGCAACTGGCCACATTCTGGGACCACAATCTCAGACTCGACACCTGACAAGATCTCGGGGTGCCTGTGAGCTCCCCTGGCCAACAGTTCTCCGTGTGTTCTGCAGTCCTGGCAGCTTCTGTGGTCCCTCCCTTTTCTTTCTCTACTGGCCACTGAAATGTCTGCCTTTGCCTCCTCTCTGGGCCCCTCCCTCCTCCATTCTCCTGTCAAACCCTCTGGGATGACAGGAGTAAAATGGGAATGACTTTAGTCTTTGAGGGCGAGTGGGGAATCTTGGCTCTTTTCTTTCCAGGGTACCACTGGTCCCAGGTGACCACTCTCCGGTGAGACTCGGGGTCATCGTAGCTGGTTGCTCAGTTCACAAAATCAGGAGGGAAATGTGGACTATGGCAACTTTTTCATGCTGTGTAACTCCCTCCATCCTCTGGTGTTTTTGTTTTAATTGAGTTAATTGAGGTATGATTGACATATAATCTGTTAGTTTCATTTGTACAATGTTTCAATATATGTAAATACCTCAAAATGATCACTATCCATCACCACACATAGTTATAAAATTGTTTTCTTATGATGGAACTTTTAAGATTTACTCTCTAAGCAACTTTTCAGTATGCAATACAGTATTGCTAACTGTTGTCACCATGTTGTATATTTACTTCCCCATGACATTTATTTTATAACTGGAAGTTTGTACTTTTTGACCCCCTTCACCCATTTCTACCCCATCCCCACTCCCGAGGCAATCAACAATTGTTATGTGTGTCTATGAGCTTGAGTGTCTTTTTAAATTAGACTCCACATATATGTGAGATTATGCTGTCTTTGTCTTTCTCTGTCTGACTTGTTTCATGTAGCACAACGCCCTGTGTGTTAGTCTTTATACAAAAAGATAATGTTATTAACGCATCATTATATCATGGCCCATCATCTGCCCATGAGACCAGCAGTTCGGCAACTTGTGAGAGGAGATAGTGTGGCAAATTCCTAGAAAGTTAGCATATGTGATGTCTTGGAAGGTTGTAAAGGAGGAGTCTGAAATACCTTGCATAATTCACTTTTAAAGAAAATAGAAACCCATGCTGATTCATTTAAAGTGTGAGCACAGGATATGCCTCAGGCAGCTGAGACTGAGACAGCAGACCCGGAACATCTTTTAGATTAAATAATAATAATAATTTTTGTGAATAATGTGGAAAAGTTAGGCATGATAATGAGAACATAAAAGTTATTAGGGCCCTGGCCAGTTTGGCTCAGCAGTTAGAGTGTCAGCCCATGGACCAAAGGGTCGAAGGTTCGATTCCCAGACAAGGGCACGTGCCTTGGTTCATCTCCAGCCCCGTCAGGGCATGTTTGGGGAGGCAACCAATTGATGCGTCTCTCTCTCTCACCCTCTTCTCCCTCCCTTCCCTCGCTATAAAAATTCAATGGAAAAAATATCCTCAGGTGAGGATTGAAAGAAAAAAGTCATTAAGTAGTAAGATGCTTCCTCCGGGGTAGTGGTGCTTGTTTGAATTAAAATCTGAATCATTTTTACTGACCAGATGCTCATAATGAGAACCTTGATCATTTCAACAGCCCAAGTAAATTGTAGGCCAAAGCAGATTTTGTAGTTGGGAAAGTGAAATCTTATTAAAGTTGAATGACCTCTGAAACAGCTTAGTTTTTAAAGCTTCATTTAGGTCACTAATGTTGCTCGTTATTGCTGTTGGCTGTCAGCACTCTGTGTGTGGGTAAAATTGCAGAGTCCCCACGAAGCACCTTCGGTGGGCACTGTTGTGGTATGTCCACTGTGGTGTGGCGGTGGTTGCTGGGAAGGTGGTAAGTAATCTGGGAGTAGGTAATTCTGCTTGTTAAGGTGAAGAGCTTGAGATATCTTGTTCTCTTTTTCTTTCTAAATATGTGCCTACTAGTTGGTGGATCACATTCTGCCCCCTTTTGCTCACTGAGAAGCCATCGCTTTGTTTACCCTAGAGGTTGGGTCATTTGGTAGTTAAGAACTTGAACTTGTCAGTCGGTCTGACTGGCTTTGCTTCTCTTTTGACAACTTGCTGAGTAACCTTAATGCCGAGTTTTTAATCTCTTCCTGCCTCATTTTCCTAGTCTGTAAAATGGGCATAATATCAGAATTATCACCAGGATTAAAATTCCCATTATGTCAATAATATAGGGATAGAACCCTTAAACTAAAATATCCATGATTCATGCTGATATAAATAAATACTTGAACCAATAAATAAATTGGAGAAGGAACAGCTTTTCTTGGCAGTAAAATTCGAATTACTAAATGGAGAAAGAATGAGAGAAATAAATAGAAGATTGCCACAGGGCAAACAGCAGAGTAATAATTGTAGACAAGAACCATCCATGAATACTCAGATTAGTAAGTGAAAGTATGATGACAAACATCTAAGAATATCTCCCCACATGACACTTATTAATTACAAACAGAAAATAGTACTTTACAGTGGAGAAACCCAGCAGATGCCACCATTACCAAGCGATCAAGGTTAACATTGCCAGTAATAAGTCATGACGATATTATATATCCCCAAATATAATGCATTGAGAAAGCAAGTTACATCTATGGTAGTCTCGCCGAAAATGCATACGACCTCAGTTGAATCATTAGAAAACAAGAGGGACGTTTAGAAAATAACTGGCCTGGACTTTTCTAATGTATCACAGATCAGAGCAGACGAAGACGACATGAGAGCTAAATGCAATAAGGGATCCTGGATCGGATCCTACACCAGGACAACAAAACTTCGTCAGAAAACTGGTAAAATGCAAGCCAGGTGTGTCGGTGTAGGTAATAGAGTTGTATCAGTGTGAATTTCCTGGTTTTGATCATTATACAACGTTTATATAAGGTGTTAACCTTAGGGGAAGCTCTGTGAAGGGCAGGCAGAAATTCTCTATGCAGTTTTGCACCTTTCCTGTCAGTCTTGAACATTTCAAAGTAAATGTTTTCAAAAATCCATTATGCATGTGAAGTACTCAGCAGAGTGCCTGCAACACAGTATGTGCTCAGTAAAGATTGCTGATGGTTGCTGCCCCTGCCAGTACTTTTGGTTTGGAGGAAGGTGGTTACTTAGCTGGTTCTGTAGCACGTGAGGTGCTCTTGTGTTTTGTCACAGGGTCCATGTCTGCACCGGGCGTAGCAGGTGGCCGAGACCTGCTGTTGGGACCTCTCTCTTCTCCCAGAGACAAGTTCCAGGGACTGTTTCAGTTGACGTGAGTGCGATTGGAGACAGCACAGGTCAAGAAATTGCTAAGTGAAATGTTGCTGCTTCCTTTTTGTGGACCTCATGCCCACTTATGGCCTGAAATGTTGCTCAGGGTCTTACGGGGCAGCAGAGCATGTGCGAGGATGTTCCATTTTAGAAACATCCGTGGTTTCCACACGAGAGTCCATGGCACGTGTCATCGCCGGGATTCAGGTTAGTGTGAGACATTGGGTGATCCCTGAGATGTTGACCTTTTGAGTTTATTGACCTTTTGCCCTATAATTGACCAAATTGAACCCAGGCAGAGAGTATTTATTTTTTTTAAAAAGCATCTTTTGCTTGTGAGTTTCTGGTGCTGCTGCTTAGGATTTGTGAGATTTGGAGCAAGCAGTTTAAGATCCTTGAGCCTTCATTTTTTTTTTTCATCTGTTGAAGGAGGTTGATAAATGTTTTTAGCTATCAGTTCTGGAGAGCTCACCACGTACCAGGCCCTGTGCTGAGTGCTTATTCATCTTCACCCAGAGCGCCGTGAGCTACACCCATCAGGACCATCATTTTACAAATAGGTACTAGAGGCGCAGAGAGGGTAAGTAACTCATTCAAGGTCAGATGGATTATAAATGTGGGGCTGGAATTCAAATCAGCCTGTTCACTTCGAAGCCCACACTCTTGATCGTGGCTGCTCTCGGCATAGCTGAAAATCAGACCCAGAGGGTGAAAATGCCTGGCAGACATTCCCCACAAGAAGCATCAGATGAGACCAAGTGTTGGAAGGGCCTTGTGTATAAAAAACCACTGACATCTGCCTTAGAGTGACAGATTTCTGCGATTCAGGCTCAAACTGTACACAAGATATGAAAACCCCATTCTCTACCTTTACATAAAAATTTACTTTAAAGGTGTACTTCGATGGAACTGAGTGTGGCATTTGGGGTGGGAGGGAGCGAGTGGTTGCTTAGATGAACATGGTCCCATAGAAATATAATGCAAGCCACATATATACTTAAGTGTTTTCTATTAGCCACATTAAAAAGAGTATGAAATAGGCAAAATAATTCTAACTCTTTTGTAAACAGTATAATTTCAATGAATGATCAATATTTTAAAATTATAATGCTATGTTACATTCTTTTTTTCATATTAAGTCTTTGGAATTCAATGTGCATTTTGCACGTACTGCATACATCTCAGTTGGGACTGGCCACATCTCATGTGCTTGGTGGCTCCATGTGGCCAGAGGCTACATGTATTGGACAGCCTTTATTGGTAGATAAATGTATTAAAACAGCCTTGCAGATAGCCTTTTAGGCTTGGACCCACAGTCTGGGACACTTTAGTTATAACTGATCATCATTATTCCAGTTTACCTCACAGACTATGCATGTATGTGGACTCCAGGTTGAGAGGGCCAGAAAGAACCATAGCTAACATTTTGTCTAACATCTACTTTCTCCCTCGCATTTTATACATGAAATAAGAGAGGAAAAATCATTGTCCCTCTTCCCTACTGAGTTCTTGGCTGATATCCCTGTAATGAGAGAGATTGCCAGGAGAAGAAAGAAGTGTATTGACATGTATACCTCCTGTACACATGGGAGTTCTCCCGGGAAAAACGAGGAACCCAGAGGGGTGGCTTAGAATTCTGGTTCATATAGCATCTTCCACAAAGAACAACGCATTTGCAGAAAGGTGGCAGGACAAGGGGAAGCAGTTTCAGGGTTCCCTTGCTATAGATTCCTCTGGTGCCGGCCCCAGTTAGACAGGGTCTACAGTTGCTTCAGGGGATTAACCTTTGCCCTTCCTGGTTGGTGGGGGGCATCTTTGTAAATGTATGTCCTGCTTTGGGGCAAATAGGCATGGATGCACAGCTGTAATAAATCACTTTTAGCCGCTGTTGTCAACCGGGGGCATTTGGCAACATCGGGAGACATTTACTAATGGGTAACCAGTGGAAGAGGCCAGGGATGCTGGTACACACCCCACGACACACAAGACAGCGCCCCACGGTGACCTGGCCTAGAATGGCAGTGGTGCCCCGGCTGAGAAGCCCTGACTTACAGGTGAGAGGGGGCAAAATACATACACATCTGAACTTTCCATATGTGAAAAGCTGATTTTCTTTCATATGTGTTCTTCACACGATTATTTCTCATGGGTCTGAATTTAATAATAGTTTCTTTTTCACTTGGGAAGCTTAGAAAGTTTGCATAATTTTGTGTTATTTTATAAACCAGAGGTGGTTTTTTAAGAAGATCCCTGGAAAAATAGTCATATTTATGAGGTCATCTTGTTTGGAGAAGGTAAACATGCATTTGGTACTTAATTTTGGGTTTTCTTACATAATTCCCACATGTGATCCTTCCCCCTTTTCTTTCGTTCTCTTTTTTAAAAAATTGATTTTTAGAGAGAGAAAAAGGGGGACAGAGAGAGATAGAAAGATTGATTCATTTGTTGTTCCACCCAACCATACATTTAATTAGTTGATTCTTGTGTGTCCTGATCGGGGATTGAACCCACAACTTTGACACTCCAACCAACTGAGCTACCCGGCCAGAGCCCTTCTCTCTTTTCTTAAACCCACATTGTGTTCAAGCCTAACAACCTGGTAAATAAGCAGTCAGCAACTAGATTTTCAGACGTGTGCTGCTAATTAGATTATATCTAAGTTTAGAAATATGTTTTTTTAATTCTCCATTTTAATTTTCTGCATAAATTATTACAGACGTCGTACAAATGGGTGCTGGGTTGTGGTGTTTTCAGCTCTTCAAAGCCTAGGGAGTGTGTGGCTGCTTCCTGGTTTGTAGCTATTTTAGGCAAAGAGAAAGTGACAGACACTTTCGCAGGCTGGCTGGGAGTTCACAGGTATAGGTGCCATCGGAAGGAGGCAGGACTGGCAGAGAGGGAGGGATTAGGAAGATGTTTCTGCCCCCTTCTGTTGGCTTGTGAACAGGAAGGGCTGGGGAGAATAGTGGAGCTGGTGAAATTGGCTAAACTGAGAGATTTTCTATTCTCTTAGAGCAGTGATGGTGAACTTTTTGAGCTCGGCGTGTCAGCATTTTGAAAAACCCTCACTTAACTCTGGTGCCGTGTCACATATAGAAATTTTTTGATATTTGCAACCATAGTAAAACAAAGACATATGTTTTTGATATTTCTTTTACATATTTAAATGCCATTTAACAAAGAAAAATCAACCAAAAAAATGAGTTCGTGTGTCACCTCAGACACGCCTGTCATAGGTTCGCCATCACTGTCTTAGAGGCTACAACAAAGGTAGGCTAAAACTTGTTTCATGCTTAGCTTTCAGGAAATCCGTATTGTGTGACAACACCAGTCTTGAGGACAAAGTCAGTCCTGATAGCTGAGAGTGTATAAAACATACAAGCACACAAACACCAAACACAAAACAAAAAAGCTGCTGAGGTTTGTCTCTCATTTTTAGGTCATTATGAGCCTTTCAGTTGTCTTATAAGTGGGGCATGGGGGAGCAGGGAACCATTTTGCAACAGGTTTAAAATGGGATGTTTGAAAGCCTGGAAAAGGCCTCAGCTGGTTTGGCTCAGCAGATAGAGCATTGGCCAGAGAACTGAAGGGTCCCAGGTTCGATTCTGGTCAAGGGCATGTACATTGGTTGCAGATTTGATCCCTAGCTCTGGTGCATGAGGCAACCAATTGATGTGTCTCTCTCATATGGATGTTTCTCTCCCTGTCTCTCTCTCTCTCCCTCTCCCTTCCTCTCTCTCTAAAAAAAAATCAATGGAAAAATATCCTCGAGGGAAGATTAAGTAAAATGAAAGCTTGGAAAAGCTTCCTTGAAATGATCAGTCTTACAACTTCATAATGGTTTTGTCTTCCTGAAGATATATTGACAGTGATGCATAATGTCTGATTGCTTGAAAGCTCATGGAAATGTTTTTGAATTTCCAGATGCTAAAATGCCTTGTCCTTTTAATTCCTCACAGCACCTGTATCCCTTGCTTTCCATGGTGTGGGTGTGTGGCTCAGTAAGGTTGGGCGGACTTGGAGTAGCCTGTGTTCTCTCGTTTTTCTTCCTTACAAACGTGACCTTTGAAATCTACTTTCTCATTGTAATCACGGTGTGCTTTTAAGATCATAATTACTTAGTTACATCATGATCTGTTTTTCTCAGTTGGTGGTAACTGGCCCTTGAGGGCATAAAGATAGGTTTTAATGGATTGTTAGTTCCTTTGGCCTTATGCTGCTCAACTCAATCAATGTTTTGTGAGTGTATACCTGAAACCTGTGTAATTTTATTAACCAATAGATTAATAAATCTATTAACCAATATCACCCCAATAGATTCAATTAAAAAAATAAAATGATAAAAGTAACTAGTGTACTCTCCTAATGAGCTAATAAGAACCCAAGTTTTCCCTGGGCCTAAGACTTTAGGATAAACACACATCTATACTCATAAAAGGGTAATATGCTAATTAGACCGGACATCTTCCAGACATCCTTCCGGACAAAGCCATGGTGGCGGGGGCCAAAGTAGAGGTGGTTAGGGGCAATCAGGCTGGCAAGGGAGGGCAGTTAGGGGCAACTGGGCTGGCAGGC